TCCACCCTCCTGACCTCACCCCTCCCAGAGGCCGCATCTTCTGACATCATCTTTTTAAGGATTAGGGCTTCGACACATGAATTTTGTGGTGACGAAAATATGTAGTCCACTACAGGAGAGGTGTGGGGACTTGGGCATCCTGCCCTGCCGCTTTGTTCCTCTGGCCCTTGGGAGGTGTCCGCCCTCTAGGAGGCTCCCATTCTCTCACCTGGGAACCTCCCCCTGCTGCTGAAGACTGGCAGACTGGTGGGCGGATGGCCTGGCAGGCCTGCCCCAAGTGCAGAACAGCTGTGTGGAAGCAGGGAAACCTGAGTCCATCCTTCAGCCAGCTGCTCCCTGGGGGTGTTCGGGTTTCTTCTTCCCACGAGGGTTGGGGATGGCCCTGCCGCCACTGCTATCAGCTTATTCTTGGGGCCTTGGGGGCTAGCAGGGAACAGTGTTCCCACATCTCCGGCTTCTCTCCAGAACCCTGTTTTGCCCCCATACAGAGAAGTCTGGCCAGCAAAGTCTTGTATTCCAGAACGCTCTGGCCCCCTCCCCCTGTTCCTTCTGGGGTACAGGTGGGGCCTCTTATCACCCTCCTTCCCCCTCTGGCTCAAGACCTCCAGGTGCCTGTTCTCTGCATCTGTTTACTTCCATAACCTCATTTCCGGATTGTCATTTGTCTTATTTGTATCTTTAGTGATCGGTTTCTGGGCAACCAATTGCCTTTAAACACCTTCTCCGGGTGCTCCTCCTTAGCACGGGCTTCCTCCGTGCTGAAGGCCTGGATGAGCTCGAGCCCAGTGCACTGCCTCAGAGCGGCTTCCCCAGGCCCCAGGCCCCAGGGCTCCGGCGGGCGGGGGCTGGGCTACATACGCGGGAGGTGCTCGCTGAGGTAGTCCTGCCCTCGTGCTTGATGAGCTTGGGGCGGGGAAGGCACCAAGCCTTGCATGGATTAGCATTAATTAAGAAAACTGATTTTGCTTAGTTAATTAGCATTTAATCTGCACAGTGGCCCTTTGAAAGTCTTACAGGTGGGAAGGTTGGGGTGCAGAGAGGTGAGGGCACCATAACTATTTGGGTGGCAGAGCTGGGATCACAAACCCTTTTTCCCTGCCACCAAGTCTGTGCCTTTCACCCCTCTGCTGTGGTGTTACTTCCTTTGTCAACAGCATCTTCATTGGATGCTTCAGTGGTTTTTTATGAAAATACAGTTCTGTCATGGAGGCAGGACTGTGCTCGAGACTGCTTTGTCCCCGTAGTGGGTGTTGCAAAGTGTTTCACTGAAGTTAAAGCGTCGCCTAGAATTTTGTGAAATAACCTGAAGTATAGCTGGTATCCAAATACACGACATTCTTGTTTTCCTGTCAGGCGCATTAGCCACTTGCAAACGTTCTCTCCTGCTTAGCCCCTGCTCCTACGCCCGGGTAACTGGCTTTTAGCCGCATGCAGCCCAGTCTTCCCCGGAACTGCTTCCCTGCTGAGTTCTTAGGTGTAGCCTGGGTTCTCGGACTCGGCCTCTTGTGCCAGGTCACTCTGCGGCCTGTCCTCTGTGCGTGGGGGCCCAGGCCCCAGTGCCCCTGCCCCCAGCCCCGGCTCCCTCTCGGCCCTGCCCGTATTCCTGTGCTCCTGCCTAGCCCAGCCTCCTTAGACTGTCCTGCCTAATGTCTGCCAGCCAACACCTTGGCTCAGTAGCCCTTTGGCACCCCACCTGGCCCAGTTCCGTTCTCCTGCCTGTTTTTCTCCCGCCAGTGCCCCAGACTGCTGAATGTTCCATGAGAACAAAAGGCTCACAGTGTGCAGGCTGGAGCCACTCCAGATTTATGCTGGAATCCTCCAGCCTCAGCTGGGCCCTCGGTGATGCTTGGAAGTCCCTCCTCCCCACCCCCGGGCTCCCCAGAGGCCACTTCAGCCCCTTTATGACTTTTTTTCCTAATGTACAACCCTGCCCGCCCCCCTCTTCATCCTCAGTAGCTGACCTTGCCTTTGTGCAGAGGCCGGACCAAGCCTCCTGCCACCAGACCTGGAAGCTGCCTTGTACTGCCATCCACAGAAGCCTCCTGTTACGGTGGCCGAGTGACCTCCTCTCTGCCATGAAGTCTTTCCCATCTGCATGCATAAGCTGCCCCTCCAGCCACTGTCACTGCCCCCTTCCAGCTGGCGCTGTTGTTCTCCTGCCCTTGGCAGACGGGCTTCTGGGAGCAGCTCTCGCCCTGAGACGCGGGGCACGCACGACCGGCCGCTCGCCGCCTCGGCCTGTGAAGCGAGCTCCCGTCCCCGGCTCTGCCCAGACCGTTCGTGGTGCGCTCACCAAATCCAGTGTGTATTTTTCAGTTCTTCTTTTCCTCGACTTCTCAAGCTTTTGGTAGTTTAGTACTTTTTCCTTTTCAAAATACTCTTCCTTTTTTTTCTCTTTCCTCTAGTCTCTGGCAGCTCTTCTCAGTCTCCTTTGCTTTCTGTGCCTTAAAAGCTGGCCTTTCTCAGGCTCCCAGCCTCCGCTTCTCCTCTGGCTTACCTGCTGACCTTGAGCATGGCGTGCCAGACCTCTGTCCTCCAACATCCTCCAGAGGCCAGTGACTTCGTGTCGGTAGCCACAGCTGAGACCTGTCTTCTGAGCTGCGGACCGCTGCCTGCAGACCTTTCTGCTTCCATTTCTCACAGGCACCTTGCGCTCACTACGCTGAAAGCTGAATACTCTGTTCCTTCTGTAATAGTCTGGTCTCAAGAAAGGACACCACTGAGTCTTGGGGTGCCCGGCCTGGAATCCTGGGCATCACTGCCGCCTCATGGGCTTCCTGCTTCCATCGCCCCAGTCAGCCACCGTGTCTTGCCCCTTCAAGATCTCCAGTCCGCTGCGTCTCTCTGCCCTGCTGCCTCCGCCACGGTTCCCTCAGCCAAATGAGTGCCCGCCTCCGAGCTGGTCTCCCTGCGGGAGCTCCCACCGTCCTCCAGGCCCTTCCGCCCAGCACAGCCAGCGGTCTGCCACAGTGCGGGTCTGACCCTCTCCCCGCGCCTGCGCCGTCCAGCCCCGGGCCGCCCTCTGGCCGCCTCTCCCACTGCTCTTGCCACCGCCGTGGCGTGCTCTCGTCTCAGCTGCCTGCCTGCCTCTCGGGGAGCCGCGTCCTCGCCCGTCTCTGGGCATCTACACACCACGGCCCCTCTGCCCTGTGTTCTTGACCTTTCTCCCCACGGCAAAGCTTTCCTGACTTGTGTTCTCTTCTCAGTGCGGACGTCTCTTCTGTCCCCCTGGCAGCCTCCCAGGCCTGGCCACGTGCCCCCAGCGCACCCCGTGTTCTCCTGTAGCAAAGGACTTGCCCCCCTGCACTGCACACGTCCCTCTCCTCACCCGCCTGCCCTGCCAGATTGTGAATGCCTTGAGGACCAGGGTCTCCACTTGTCACCCCAGTATTTAGCTCAGGGCATTAATATCCACACGCTAAGTGGTTGGAGACGAAATGAAGGGTGTGGTCTTTGGGTTCACAGATGCATTTATTATGTCTTTGGAGATAAAATTCATATAACATTAATCTGGCTATTTTAACTGTCCCAAAGCTTACGATTCAGTGACTTCTGGTATATTCACAATGTTGTGCAACAATCCCCTCTAACTCCAGAATGCTTTCATAGCCCCAAATAGAAACCCTGTGCGCATTGGCAGTTGCTGCCCATTGTCCCCCCCCCCCTTCGCCCCCCAGCTCCTATCAACCACTAATTTACTTTCTGTCTGTACAGATTTCCTTGTTCTGGACCTTTCATATAGATGGAATCATACAACATGTAGTCTCTGGGGCCTGGGTTCTTTGACTCAGTGTGATGTTTTTAAGGTTCACTCATGTTGTAGCATGTACCAGCACTTCTTACCTTCGTCTGACTGCATAATGTTCCATTGTATGGAGAGAGCACATTTTGTTTATCCATTCCTCCACTGCTGGGCAAGTGGGTTGCTTCCACTTTTTGGCTATGGCGAATAGTGCTGCTGTTATCTTTCATGGACAAGTTTTTGTTCGAGTACCTGTCTTCAGTTCAGTGGGCATGGAATGGCTGGGTCACGTGGTAATTCTGGGCTTAAATCTGAGGAGCCCCCAAACTGTTTCCCACAGGGACTGCACAGTTTGAATTCCCACCAGCAGCATATCCGGGTTTCAGTTTGTCTATGTTCTCATCACGGATGGGTTCTGAATGTTGACCTTCACAAAATATAAGCTAATTATAGATCAGATTTTGTTATGAGATTACCAAAGGGTCAGCCATAGCCCCTGTTTTTGTTTCATTTGCATTTTATTTTACTTAAATTGCTTAAACCTCCTTGTTTGGGATTTACAAATAGTTTTATTATACAGAAATTTTTGTGGTACTACAACTTTTTCTGTTTGGACAGATGGCACTAACAGAACCTTTAAAAATGAACTCGCCTTGAGGAAGATCCAGTTGTTAATGGTTTAAAAACTGATGATGGGTACAGGACAATTGTTATGGGTTGAATTGTGTCTGCATAAAAAATATGCCAAATATCTAACTCCCAGTACCTGTGAATGTGGCCTCATTTTGAAATGAGGTCTTTATAAATGTAATCAAGTTAAGATGAGGTCTTATTGAATTAGGGTGGGCCGTAATCCAGTCTGACTGGGGTCCTTAGAGGAAGAGACAGACACGAGGCAAAGGCCATGTGATGGTGAGGCAGAGATTTGAGTGATGTGTCTGTAAACCAGGACCCCCTGGGGCTACCAGAAGCTGGAAGAAGCAAAGAAGAATCCTCTCCGAGGGGCTTCTCAGGGAGCACAGCCCTGCCGGTACCTTGATTTTTGGCTCCAGCACTGTGAGAGGACATTTCTATTGTTTTAAGCCACTTAGTTTGTGGTACTTTGTGCCAGCAGCCAGGGGTGAGTCCTACAAGGATTAGGAGGTTTATTATACACAGATGGCCTTGTTGCTTCCTTAATGGTCTCTTTCTGATAACACTAGAAACAATTGAAGTGTGAGCTCAGATGCAGTGCTGTTATGTCTTTTGTTTTTCACAGGCCAAGGGTGGAGGGTACGAGAGTGAAAGTGCTTACCCCAACGCGGAGCTCGTGTTCTTGGAGATCCACAACATCCACGTGATGAGAGAGTCCCTGCGTAAACTGAAAGAGGTCGTGTACCCTTCGATAGACGAGGCGCGGTGGCTCTCCAGCGTGGACGGGACGCACTGGCTGGAGTATATAAGGGTAAAGGGGCTGGTCCTTGACATGCTTTCTGGTTAAGATTTCTCTGTGTACCTGCCATAAATCTGTGTCCCCATGTGGTTTCTCAGCACTGTAAAGAAGCACATCTTTGCAGTATTCTAGGCTCTCATAGTTTCCACAGGCAACATTCAGACTGTGGTCTTTGTTGAGGGATACCGCTTGCGTCAGATCAGGTTTGGAATGTACTTTGTGGCCCTGTAATAAACGACTGCATTTACTGTCATCATTTTTCTTAGTGTTGGATGTTCCCCACCCCCAGCGCTAATGTTTCTGAGTGATCCTCACTTGATTGCGTTGTTTGGTTTATTGACCTGAAGTTCTTAACATTCTCCACAGAACTATTTTTTGCTGTCCTAGAAATTAAACGTAGCCTGCTCTAATGTGCCTTCTTTTCCGAAGATGCTTCTTGCTGGGGCAGTAAGGATTGCTGATAAGATAGAATCTGGGAAAACTTCGGTGGTGGTGCACTGCAGCGATGGTTGGGACCGAACAGCCCAGCTGACGTCTCTGGCTATGCTGATGTTGGACAGTTACTACCGCACCATTAAAGGGTTCGAGGCTCTCATAGAAAAGGAGTGGATAAGCTTCGGACATAGGTTTGCACTGGTAAGCTGAGACTGTGAGGTACATTCCTGACTGTTTTGTTCTCTCCTATGCATGTGTGTATCACACAGCACACACACGTGTGGGCTTTCTGCTCTGTATCAGACCTGAGTCAGCATAATAGAATACCATGGACCTCAGCATGGTATGTTTTTGGTAGGGCACTCTGTTTTTTGAAAATTTTTTTAGTGTAGGTATGTCATTTTTTTTTTAATAAGTGAGGTAAAATTCATATAACAGAATTAGCCATCTTAAGGCACACAGTTCAGTGACATTTAGTACATTCACAATGTTGTGCAAGCACCAGTTCTATCTAGTTCCAGAACATTTCTTCACCCCCAAAAGGAAACCCTGTACCCGTTAAGCAGTCCCTCCTCATCTCCCCCTCCTCCAGCCCCTGACAGTCGCTAACCAGCTTTCTGTCTTTCTCAATTTGCCTGTTCTCGGTGCCTCCTGTAAGTGGAATCATATAATATTCGTCTTTCTGTGCCTGGCTTATTTCACTAAACACACTGTTTTTAAGGTTTATCCATATCAGCATATGTAAAAACTTAATTCCTTTTCCTACCTGAGCAGTATTCCCTTTGTTTATCCATTTCTGTTGATGGACACTTGGATTATTCCCACCAGTTGGCTCTTGTGAATAATGCTGCTGTGAACATTGGCATACAAGTTTTTGCCATGCAGAGTACCACAAACTGAGTAGCTTAGACAATAGAAATGTATTGTCTCCCAGTTCTGGAGGCTGGACATCCAAGATCCAGGTGCCGGCAGGGTTGGTCTCTCCTGAACCGTGTCTTCTCGGCTCGTGCGTGGCCGCCTTCTCACCATGTGCTCACATGGCCTTTCCTCTGTGTGCGCCTCCCTGGTGCCTCTCTCTGCATCCAAATTTCCTCTCCTTAAAAGGACACCAGTCAGACTGGATTAGGGCCCAGCCTCCCAGCCTCCTTTTAATCACCTCTTTATAGACCCTGTCTCCAAATATAGTCCCATTCTGAGGCCCTGGGGCTTAGGGCGCCAGCATAGGACCTGGGGCAGTACACAATTCAGCCTGCAACGGCCTGCTTTCACACTGGGGGACATACCTAGGAGTGGGATCGCTGGGTCATCTGGTAGCTATCCTTGAGCTGCCATTTGTGTTTTAGTGTAAATGGCTGTCCGTTCCTGGTCTTTCCCAGTCATTGAGCCATTGGGGATCCGTCTTAACTGTGCATGGCACTGGAATATGCTCGAAGCCTCATTCAGACCCACTCCTAGAGAGCGGGTGGATGGGCAGTGGCTGGGGGGTGCTTCGGTGGCTTCTGCCATGGGGTTACCAAGTACATCGGCGGTGAGAAGAAGGAAAGGCAGCTCCACAGCCTGTGAGCCACATGCCCTTCGGGGGCCGTTGTCGGAGCCTCGTCTGCACTGTGCCCCTTCCCTCTGTGCGCCTCGGTCCCCTTCTCTGCGGCGGTGTGTTGTGCAGCAGAGGTGAGTTTATGTATGTCAGATGCTTAGGACCGGGCCCGGAGGAAAGGTAGGTTTAGTGGGGAGAGGGGGGGGGCGAGTGAAGTTCTCCCCAGTGTTTGTATCTGGTCACCTCTGAAGGCTCCCAGGCCATCCCCTTCCACCACTCCTCCCCACGCTGTGTGTTCCGGGGGAGAGGAAGCGGGCAGGGGCCCTTGACTAGATGGGTGGTGCTAAAGGTCATGGACTGAGAAGCCAGCGGCGGCCACGCACAGCACGCATTGAGGTGTGCGCGCACGCTCCGCTTCTATCCCTACGTGCTGATGCGGGCTTCGTCATGGTCATAAGACCATGAGATTCGTAGCGGCTGCAGTTTACTGAGCGCCACTGCGTGTCCACATCCAGCACTGTTACACGTGTCATCCCGAAGCAGCTGCTGTAACTGAGATTTCAGGAGTATGACCCAGCTGTTGAGGGTGGAGCCAGTACCCAAGCCGCAGTTTCAAGCCCGCGGCCACCTCCTCACTGCCTCCCTATACTCCACCCTCCCTTGACTTTCTGTCAGTGAGCCATCTAGGTTCCTCCCTGAGGCCAACTCCTGTCCTTGCCCCCCCCTGGTCCATCATCCTGCCTCTGGCCTGCCTCCCCCTCCCCTCTCGCCTAGATGGCTCCCGCTGGCATAGAAACATGCCACTGTTTATCCCACCCTGGAAACCAACCCTCTTGACCCTACTTCTGCTCCAGCTGTCACCGCAAAGATCTGTCCCCTTTATGATAAAGCTGTCCTGTACTCACTTCAGCCAGGCTTCCTCCTCCCAACACCCACCCCACCCCGAAACTGCATGTCACAGCCACCAGTCGCTGCCACTTTGCCAAGCCCTTCTCTTATTTGGCCTGAGCACTTGATGCTGTTGGTTCTTCCCTATTTCTAGAAACCGTTTCTTCCCTTGGCTTCTAGGTCTCCACAGCCTTTTGAATTTCCTCCTGTCTTTTGGTCCTCCCTCTCTCCCCAGCCTCTTAGTGTTGGGGTGCCCCAGGGTTCAGTCCTCAGATTGCTTCTCTTCTCTCTGTATGCTTAATACCTTAGTGATCTTGACTGGTCCCACGTCTTTAAATACACGTGTTTCAAATCTGTTGTCTCCTCCTCAGTGCCACTGATGCCCCCCCCTTCATTCCAGCCTGCCCATCTCCCTTGGGGCTGTGATGGCAGCCTCCTAACTGGTTTCTCTGTCACCTACCCCCTTCCAATCCACTGTCCTCGCCGCAGCCAGATGGAGCGTTCCAAGAAGCAGCTCTCATGCTGCCATTCCCCGGCACGAATCCCGTGGCCTATGCGGTCGTGAGCAAACTCCTCGACATAACATTTGAGGCCCTTGGTGATCTGGCCTCGTCCACCTTTCCAGCCTTGTCTCGCCTCCTTCCCCTTGCCTCATGCCCAGCTACTTATGGTGCTCTTGGTAGCCCCCACCTTGTTCCCACTGCTTCTACCACAGTGCACCCCTGACCAGCCAGGAAGTAGGCACATCCTTCTGTCCTTCAAGGTTTATCTCAAATGAGACCTCCTCCATGACTGTGACTTGTGGGATTTGCCTCCTCTGGTCCCTCCTCTGCCCCATCCTAGGTTGGTCACTTGTTCCTTTGTGGCCCCACCATACCCATTCCAGACTTGGAAGCCCTGGGCACATTTTAGTGCCCTTGTTATTTGCAGGTCTTTCTCCCACGACTAGACTGCAGGTGAGCTATTTGTTTAGCACGGGTACTTTGTCTCATTTATCTTGGTACCTCAGGTGTGTAGCCAAGAGCATGGCCTCTCTGGGACGCCATGACGTGCCCTGAAATTCCAGGGGCCAGGCAAGATGCCTTGTGTACACCAGAGGAATTCAGTGAATGGCTGTTAAAAGAATGAATCTTAAATTGCGAGTGGTCGTGCAAAACCATTCCCAAGGTGCCTTAAATACTGAAGAGCAGGTTCTACAGATTATTTTGTAAAGGGGAAGTGCAGAGATAAGTCAACTTAGGCAGCTGCTGTGGAAAACAGTATGGCAGTTCCTCAAATAATTAAAAATAGAACTACCCTGTGATCCAGCAATTCTGCTTTTGGGGATACACCCAAAAGGAGTGAAAACAGGGACTTGGGTAATTGCACACCCACGTTTATAAACAGTGTGATTCACAGTAGCCCAAAGGTAGAAGCAACCCCGGTGTCCATCGACAGATGAATGGATACATAGAATGTGGTCTGTCCATACAGTGGAAGTATTATTCAGCTTAAAGAAGGAAGGAATTTCTGACATATTCTACAGCGTAGATGAACCTTGAGGACCTTCTGCTGAGTGAAAGAAGCCAGTCACAAAAGGACACATACTGTAGGAGTCCACTTGTAAGAGGGACCGAGAGCAGTTACATTCATAGGGACACAGAGTACACTGGTGGGCACAGTAGGGTGGGGGGAGCTGGTGTTAATGGGGAAGAGTTTCAGATTGGAAAGATGAATGGTGGGGATGGCCGCACAGCAGTGTGAATGTACTTAATACCACTGAGCTGTATGCTTAAAATGTGGCCCATTTGATGTTCTGTATGTTTCACCACCATCGAAAACCAATAAAAGAAAGAAGACCAACTACTGTAACTGCGAGGCATGGATTTCCTTGTTTTTATGTCTCTCCTGCTGGCACTTTCAGAGACCCAGTATTTCTCGTGCTTTCTATGTGGTGGTTGCATCAAACCTTTGTAATGTTTCTTTCTTTCTCATCCTTTTGCTTAGTTCTCAGAGTATTTGAATCTTCTCTTAGAATGCTCACTCTTGAACTGTTTTTTAACTTGACATTTTCAGTGTTTTGTCCCGTTTGTGTTTGAAGTTCTTTTAACTTTTACCAGGCATCTATGAGTATATTCTAAAACACTGAAAGGTGTGAAACACACTACTGGATGTCAAGAATGTCTCAGAACTGCAGAAGAACACAACACTTGGCTGCCTTGAGCAAGGACTCCCCATTACCCTTTCAAGTGTGAGATTTGGGGGCTCTCTGAGTCCTGTAGAATTGGTTAAAATGTATAGATTATTATTTGATTCTCAGACTTCCTGACATTTCTGAAAAATGGGAAAACCTGTTTTTCCATTTGTGGAGGAAATGGCCATTGTAATGTGCTTTCTGAGCAGCTAATCAGTAGTCCCACATTGACACTGTGCACTTGGTGCGGTGGCCGGGCCTTGACCCCATCACTGGGACTGAAAAGTTTACTGGCCACTTGCTTATAACTTCTTGAACTCAACTATATTAAAGTGAAATTATAAAACAGTCCTCACATAAAAATACAGTACACTGAAATTTTGTTTCCTAAGAGCAATGGAAGTCAGTTCAATTCGGTGAATGTTTTTGAGTGCTTTTTCTGTGCCAAGAATTTGTTTAGCTCTTGGGAAATACAAATGACACCTGATGGCTTGCCACTAGGCAATTTTAAGTGACTTTTGAGAGGAATGTGGCACGCATTCACATGCTTAACCTGTTTGTTTTCAGAGAGTAGGCCATGGCAATGACAACCACGCGGATGCTGACCGATCCCCTATATTTCTTCAGTTTATTGATTGTGTTTGGCAAATGACAAGACAGGTGAGAAATTTCAAGTATATTTCTGACCTTAAAGTTGAAGATTAGATAAATATTCATGTTCGTTCAAAATGAAGACGTGTGTATGTGTGTAAAAATAGGACCACTTCTGTTATTTAACTTGGTTTGGTTCTAATTCACTTGGAAGTATAAGCAGAAAATTAGAGACTATCAATTTCTCACCAAAAGTTCCTATTCTCGTGCAAATGCTTTTGTTAGCCCTCCTGCCCACCAGTAATGCCGACCAAGGCCCTGCTCCTGCCATTCTGCGGTTCTTTCTGCCTTCCCGTCCTGGTGAGGAGGCACAGTCCCCTGCTGAGCAGACCGCGTGTTTGAAATGGGAATGTGACGGAACTGCCAGCAAGGGCGGGTGTCAGACTCGGGAACCCAGGAGTCTGCACACTTGCCCTGGGCCCCAACCCCCTGCGCCCCCGCGGCAGTCGCTGAGGGCAGGGAGTGTCCAGGAAGCAGAGGCGGATAGGAAGTTGCTGGTGCTTAGTTTCCAAACCCTGGTGCACAGAGCCCCTGGTAAGCAAGGCGGCCACACAGGGATCCCCCTTCCCTAAGCTGGTAGGGCCATGATGGCTTCAGTTCAGAGCAGGCCCTGAGGCCTATGTTGTTTATTTCCTGGTCTCTAACATCTGAGCCGAAGTTTGGGGTCTTCCCGTCAGGATAGGAGATGGAGCCAGAGTGCCAGAGAGAGCGACAGAGACAGAGTGGTATACAGAGAGGGGGGATAGAGAGAGACAGAGACACACATGCAGACAGAGACAGACACAGAGAGACCAAGACGGAGAGAATAGAAGACAGGTAGTCTCCCCAGTGCCTGCACGGGGAGAGAGCCAGAGGATGGAGAACCATGGCCTGGGTGCTCTCCTTCCTATTGGCCTGGAGGTCTGGGCTAGGCTGCCTTAGTCATGGGAAGAAGACCAGCTGGAAAGACTGCTGGCGACCTCTAGTGACTCCATCAGCAGCCATGGCGCTCAGGACAGCCTCCTGACCACATTATTACCATCACCCTAGGACCTTTTCAAAGGACCTCTGCTTCCCAAGCCCAGAAAGTCGGATGCACCACTGTCTGTGAAATCCCTCACTGTGCACCACTGTTGGCAGTGGGGGTGGGGGTGGGGGCAGGAGAGAGGTTGAGCACCACTGAGGTGCTGTTGCTGCCCCACTCCACCTCAGCCCAGACCCCTTCCAGCAGCAGTTCCTCAGCAGCCATCTGGGGGACCCCAGCCTCACTGTCTACCTGTGTGCACACTGTCAGCACCTGGAAACTTTTAAAGATGCACATGCTTGGGCCCCCGACCTTGTGGACCCTTCCTCCTGTGGGCCGAGGGAGAAGCCCAGATGTATGTAGTTCTGGAACATTCCCCATGTGGGTTCTGAGGTGCCAGTGAGGGCTCCGTCCTACTGAAGTCCTGGGGTCAGTAGCCTCAGCTTCCCCTGGGGACTTAGAGATGATGAAAATTCAGGCCCGCCCAGACCTGCTAACACTGGAGGGAGGGTGGCACTGGATGTGGGGATGTTATTAAAATGCAGAGTCTGATTTGTGAGCCTGCATTCTCACGGATCGCAGTAGCAAGGATCTAGAGAAAACAGGCATACTTTCAGAAACAAGGGAAAAAAAGGGGGGGATGAGTTCTGATCAGCGAGAGGAGACCTCCCAGAGCCCTCAGGCTCACACTGAGAACTTACTTTTACGCCCAGCTTCCCCAGACTGATGGGGCTCTTGCGTTATCCGAGTGCCAGGTCACAGCTGATTCAGAGCAGCCAGTTGGAGGGTTGGTGGGGGAGGGGGTGCGAGGGGAAGGGGTGGTCTCAGAGGTGGGCACCGCTGGGATGAGTGACAGATGGCAGTGAACGCACACTCCGAAAGCACGGAGGCTGGCCGGGGTTCTCGCTGTTATGTAGCACCATGAACTTCTTGCTGTTTGTATCAATTGAGCCAATAACAAAATTAAATGATGGTTACATTCAGGTTAAAACAAAAAAAGTATAAAATGCATTTTAGAAAAATTGTGTAACAAGGTTGAACACACAAAAAAAATGCTTCTGAGGGGATAAGCACTACTTTTGTGGATGTGAAGTAGCTTCTTCCTCCCAAATGCCAAGCGTGTGTGTGTGTAATGTCCTCAAACTGCCCTCCATTCTTCATACTGTTTAGTGCCTATTTTCATGTCTAATCTAGATCATTTTTGTGCTGTTTATTGGATTTTAAGAACGAAAGCAAGGGGTTTAGATTAGATTTCAGATGCCTCTCAGCTCTAAGATCCTGTCCATGAAATGTGTATAATTAATGTCTCTTAAAACAACATGGTTAATGCAATAGAAGCAGAAATATCACTGCTCAGTCTATCAGTTAAGTTACAAGTGGATGAGACACGTAGCTTGTTAGGAAAGATGCATTAATGTAATAAGATTAATTTATTTGGAGGTTGCCTACTGCTAAATCAAGTAAGCTAAATCGCGTTAAATTGTTTGAAATCTCAGGATAAAGTGAACTAGCCTGTGTGGACAAATTGATATAAAAGGATCTAAGGGAAAGTAATTGAGGGGCTCTTCAGAAAAGAGTCTCAAAGATTCTACAATAACCATAGTTTAATAGACTCACTGCCCTTTTGAATCGGTTTAATAGTGGTTCATATTTTTGTTCCTCAAGAGGTGCAGAATTTCATTGTGGATTTCTAGAGTTTTTGAGCCCATACTTTTTAGGTAGATGGTATAGTTTCCAGGAAAAGAGGCCAAAAGAAATTATGAATCAGGGCGCCTGGGTGGCTCAGTCGTTAAGCGTCTGCCTTCAGCTCAGGTCATGATCCCAGGGTCCTGGGATCGAGCCCCACATCGGGCTCCCCGCTCAGTGGGAAGCCTGCTTCTCCCTCTCCCACTCCCCCTGCTTGTGTTCCCTCTCTCACTGTGTCTCTATCTGTCAAATAAATAAATAAAATCTTAAAAAAAAAAAAAAAAGAAATTATGAATCATGAGACTTAATCTTCTATTCATATTACTCTAGCTGTTGCTACTTCCTCTAACGAAACGTTTCCTGGGCTGAGCGTGAGGCCACAAGGCCATTTGAACGTGAATAGCAGTCCTGACGAGCATCAGTAGATGTAGCTCTTGTGTCTTGGTTCTGGGGGTGCTGATAGGCGTAGGCTGAGCCCCAGCCAGCCTAGACCTACCGGCTCTGGAACCTACTTGGCCAGAATAAGGCTTATAGTCAGGGGTGCTAGAACGTGCCCAAACAAGCTCCCAGGTCCAGAAGGCGGGCTCAGGGTTAGGAATAAAGACTCATTTGACTTCAAAAATGTGTCCATAGAAGCTTTGCTGTCCTGTTAATAAATGTGTAATTTAAATGAAAATAAAGTCTAGATCTTCCATTTCTATCCTTGATTTAATAAAGCTTCAGTGTACATCAATGTTATATATTTGCTTCACATTCATAAATTTCATGGTGCCAATAATTTATAAATAGAGCATTACTAAACTGCATAGAAAAATGCTGGGAAAAGTGGACATGATGTACTTGGCCTTATAAAGGATAGCCATTTGGAATGTGAGGCCATTGGGAGAGTCACAAGTTAAAGGCTCAGAGAGGATTCATCAGTAGCTGTCTTCAGCATTTCAGCCAGGTTTAGTTGATTTAGTTCATCTAAGAACAAGAATGCTGGTACGAACAACCAGCACAGCTAGTTTCCAGAGGTTTCTGAAGAACGGGAATTCTGAGGGGGCTCCTCAGAAGAGAGTTGTGTGTTTCTGTGGGAACAGTCCTTAAGATGGAGAGAGAGACACATCTGAATCCAAGGTGGCTGCGCTGAAGTCCGTACGTTGGCTAATGTGATAAACAGCCTGGTGAGGAAAAGAACGATTTCAGGTGGAGTTTGGACAGTCCTGGACTGACCATTATTTCTCACTGGGAAGCTTGTCCCTAGCCTGGGAAAGTGATACGGCCATCGGGGACCCTGGTTGTCTCTCTAGAGATGACAGGATTAGTCATGAGAGTGTGCAGACAGCACTGTGGGGAACAGTTTCATACTTTAAACTGACTTAAGTAAACCTCTGCTGGGTAGTTCTGTTTGGTTTGCTTCTAACGGGCTTTGCCTCCTTCAGTACGTCACTGTGTTCTTGGCACGTGGTAGGCGCCCCGCCCGCACCAGCTGCCAGGCGCTTCGTTGTCCTCATTAACCCCTATTATTGTTCCCAGGCCATCTCCTTACAGCTACTAAATGCCAGCTACTGGCTGGAACCTCCCGACAATGGTAAAGTCTTTGTTGCAATTCTGTAAAAACCCATGAGAATTACCTAAAACAATAATTGAGATGATTATGTGATTTTCTTATTCTGTTAATGTGGTGAATTACAGTAATTATTTTTTTAACGTTGATCTTCAAATGTTAAGCCAGCCTTGCATTCCTGAGCTAAACCCCACCAGGTCATGTTGTGTTACGCTTTGCATATATCGCCGGGGTCAATTTGTTTACACGTTGGTAAGGACTTCGGGATGTATGTTCATGGAGTTGTCTCTGGGGGAAGGTTTTTAATTATGAGTCATTTCTTCACTAGATAATAGGCTTTCCATTTTTTCTTGAATCCCTTTTGGTATATGCTGTGCCCGGGAGCCCCCCTCCCTTCTCTGTGACTCCAAACGCACCTGCGGGCAGAAAGCTGGGACAGTACTTGGACTTGCTTCGTCTGTTTCCCTTCTGGGCTGGGGGCCTTTCAGTCTCGTGCGGCCTATTGCCAGAGTCTGAAAACAGCTGTTCCATGTATTTTGTCCAGCTTTCTAGTTGCTTCTGGCAGAAGGGTGACTGTGGGCCGTGTTCTACCAGCAGGACCAGAAGGGGAAGCATTGAAAAGTACAACAGTTCTCGTTACTGCAGGTGCTTTCGCAGCCGCCTCTATAAGCCGGGACTCGAAGCCATAGGAAGTGAAATTCTATATGGCTTAGACTTCCTTTTAACCTGTGACTGTATTCCAAGTTGTACTTTAGCTGTCTTTCACAGAAAATTAGTACCACTGTGTTTTAGAAATTGAACTCTAAACTTTACTTCTCTCCCCATTTAAGTTTCCTTCAGCATTCGAGTTTAATGAGCTATTCTTGATCACGATTTTGGATCACCTGTATAGCTGTCTCTTTGGGACTTTTTTGTGCAACTGTGAACAGCAGCGATTTGAAGAGGTAAGTGTATTCCATCCTGTCGCTTTCCCATGCCTCAGGCGCCTTTCCCATTAAGTGCCACTGTAGACGCGCAGGTGGGGGGTACTGGGTGGAGTGGGGACCTGGGTCTAGCCCTGCTGCCATCCGTAAATGGAGGGATTGCATGAGATGCCCTTCCAGGGCTCACCAGCCCCAGTGCGTGTGTCTGATCTTCCACGTGGTCCAACACAAGCCCCTTACTTTATGGGGGCTGGGACCCAGCAAGCCCACAGCTCTCTGAGGTCTCTAAGGTCTTATATGAGGGTCAGTTCTAGACCCTGGACCCCTAAACCCCTAGCTCGTGTACTTTCTACCACAGTGACTTGAAAATGATGTGATTCTGCTCTTCACCCTCCATTCCAATAGGCTGTCAGGTGCTGGGAGGCCTAGGAAGGTGAAGTCTGTAGATGAACCCAGAACGTCCTGCTAGGTAGCAAGCCAGACTTCCTTTTCCATCAGGCTGATAATGAAGCAGCTGCTGAGCTTCTCAGAATTCTGTTTCGCCTCTTTCCTCCTAGAATGACTGATTGATTGATTGGTTTGAGAGTGAAAGAGAGTGTTCAAGAGCACGAACTGGAGGGGCAGTGGGAGAGGGAGAGAGAACCCCAAGCAGACTGCGCTGAGAGCGGAGCCCAATGGCAGGCTCGATCCCACAACCTGAAACCTGACCCAAAACTAATTATCAGATGCTCAGCTGACTATGTCACCCAGGTGCCCCTTTCCTCGTCCATTTGAGATAAAAGAAAGAAGTGATCACAAGTGAGGAGGCACTGGGGAAAGGCAGCTTAAGAGTGTCCTCTGGTTAACAGAAAAGGGCCACCACCTGCAGACTAAGCACATTAGAACATTATCGAATCTTGGAGAAAATAGTGGGTGGCCAGCACCCACCTCCCTCTGCAGCCTCTCCACAGCTGCCACCCCCTCATTCCATGTCCACACCCACTCAGTCCCCTCCCTTTAGCTCTTCTCTCACCTGGGAGCCTGCCTGGACCCAGTCCCGGGTCCTCCTCTTGTCCCAAACTCTGTTCTCTCTAGGTCACTGTCTGTCTCATCTTGGGGTCTAAGTACCATTCTCCTGCTCCTCCCCTGCTCCTCTGCATCTCCCTCAAGGGCACCCTTGCCCCTCAGGATGCTAAGGCCAAATGCCTAGGAGCCACCTTTGCCTCCTCCCTCCCCCTCACCCCAGCTGCCACAGCTGGTCCCCAGAAGAGATTCTTTAAAAAAAAAAAAAAAAAAGATTGTATTTACTTAGAGAGGAAGGGAGGGAGAGGGGAGGAGAGCAGCAGAGGGAGAGGGACAGGCAGACTCTGCACTGAGTGTAGAGCCTCATGTGCGGCTCAATCCCATAACCCCGAAATCATGACCTGAGCTGAAATCAAGAGTCAGACGTTCAACCGACTGAGCCATCCGGGTGCCCTGAAGAGATTCTTTCTTAATCTGGCCACTTGTCACTGCCCCACAGCCTAGCTCAAGCCCCCATTGTCTCGTGGTGGACTAAGGCAGCTGCCTGGAAATGAGCTTCACTCGCTCCCTCCATTTCTGACCTCCAGCAAGCAGGGCAGCGCTCCCCAGCTCCGGTCCCATCACGAGCCTCTCCCCTGCTTGAAACCTCCCTGTGGCTTCCGTTGTGAGCAGGATAAGGTCCATATTCCTACGGGCCCAGGTGATAGGCTCTGTTAACCTCTTTAAAAAAAGAAGTTTTAGAGTACATTTTATGGTATGTGACTCATATCTCAATAAAGCTATTTTAAAAAAATCAACAGAAGAATGAAGTTCACATGTAGAATTTAAACCCTGATGGTTTTTTTTTTTTGACAAAACATTCTTTAAAAAAATCAGCTCTCTTGAGATATAATTTACATACAATATAATTCATCCTTTTAGAGTATACAGTTTAGTGGTTTTTAGTATATTCAGAGTGTGCAACCATCACCATCTAATTTCATAAACCCCTTAAACTTTTCATCACCCCAGAAAGAGAGCCCATCCCCATGAGCAGTCACTCCCTGTCCCTCACTTCCCCAGCCCCCGGCAACCACGGATCTGCTCTCAGTCTATATGGATTCACTGATTCTGGACATTCCATACGAATGGAATCAAACAGTATCTGTTCTCCCATGACTGGCTTATTTCACTAAGCGTAATGTTGTCAAGGTCCATCTGTGTTTCAGCAGGTGTCAGAACTCTGTTCCTTTTTTCTGGCTGAGTAGTATTCCATGGTATGGAGAGACCACATTTTGTGTATCTGGTCAGCGGTAGATGGACTTCTGGGTTGTTTCCACTTTGGGCTCTGACAAATAATGCTGCTCTGCTGTGAATATTCAGATGTGCAAGATTTCGTGTGGACATGTGCTGTCATTTCTCTTGGTATATACCTAGGAGTACAGTTGCTGAGTCATATAGTAACTGCTTGTTTAACCTTTTGAGGAACCACAGACTGTTCTTCCAAAGGTCCAATATTTTACCAACACTGTCTCACCATGTCTGAGGGGTCTGTTTTCTTCACTTCTTTGCAGACATTTGTTGCGTATTTTTTTTTTATTCTAGCCATCCCAGTGGTATCTGATTGTGGGTTTTGGTGTACATTTCCCTGGTAACTACTGATAGTGTGAGCATGTTTTCATGTGCTCCTTGGCCATCTGTGTATCTTCTGCGGACAAATGTTTATTAAGATCCTTTGCCCATTTGTAGTTGGGTTGTCTTTATCATTGAGTTGTAAGAGTTCCTTATAAATTCGTGATATATATAAGTCCCTTATCAGATATATGATTTTCAAAAACTGTCACCCATTCTGTGCATTGTCTCTTCACTTTTTTGATGGTCTCATTTGAAACACACAAGTCTTTAATTTTCATGAAGTCCAATTTGTCTATTTTCTTTCATTGCTTGTGCTTTTGGGGTCCTATCCAGGAAGCTATTGCCTATCCCAAGGTCATGAAGAGCTGAGTCTGTGTTTTCTTCTAAGAGCTCTATAGTCTTAGCCCTTCCATTTAGGTCTGTGACCCATGTTTGAGTTCTTTTTGTGGGCACTGTGCAGTAAGGGTCCAACTCTGTTCTTTTGCATGTGGCAAACCAGTTGTCCCAGCGCTGTTTGTTGAAAGGACTCTCTTGCCCCCACTGAATGGTCTCAGTGCCCGGGTTGGAAATCAGTTGACTACAGAGGCGAGGGCTTGTTTGTGTTGTCTTCTCGTCCGCTGAGGCACGTGTCTGCCCAGCCCAGGCCGGCACCACCTGCACTGACTTCTGTGGCTCTTCAGGGCCCTTGAATTCTCGCTGGTGGTTCTCTTAGAAATGCAAATATAAAATAGGAAAAGGTCCTGATGGGATTCTCTGTGTCTAGATAGCTTGTGAGGGAGTCAGCTGGCTTTATGGTTTTCTAATTTTGACTTCGTCACTGCGCTTGGTCCATGTCTAACGCTGCCCTGCCCTGCCAAGCCTGTCGGTTGTGGTGTTTTCACTCACGTGAGCAATGCAGATAGTTCCAGCGTTTCTAAGCCGGGTATGCCAGGGTCGGGAGGTGGGGCGATAGAATTTAATGCTGTGTATCTCCTTCTCGGTGTGAGGCATCACCAGCCTGCCCCCCTGGCATGTCTCCCCCCAGACAGCCGTGATTTTCCGGTGAAAGGAATCCTACGTGTGAATTCTACCCTAGTCACAGAAGCAAAACTGCAAACTGGAAATAAAACATGTATTTGTTATTGATGGGCCCCATCATCCTGTGGTTGCTAGAAAGTTCGCGTCTTGCCTTCACACAGACGCGGTTGCCAGCTGTCACCTAACTCAGTGATACATTTTTCCAGGACAGTAACCAGTGTCTGTTTTCATGTCCCCCCCAGCATGAGGGGGTGCCATAGCATAAGGGATGGGGGTGGGGCTCAGTAAATGTTCTGTAATTTTTCAGTGTCTGAATTCCTTTTATCCAAGTCCTTTTCTCTCCGTAATACAAATTCTCAAGGATCTGAAGAAAAGTTGAATTTATTTCAATGTATTTTTTTGTTTTTCAGGATGTATATACGAAGACTATATCTTTATGGTCATATGTCAATAGCCAGCTTGAAGAATTTTCTAATCCTTTCTTTGTGAATTATGAAAACCACGTCTTATATCCCGTTGCTAGTCTGAGTCATTTGGAACTATGGGTAAACTATTATGTGCGGTGGAACCCACGAATGAGGCCTCAGGTATCTTTTTGTTCTTTGCAAAAGAGCGTATTTTTGTAAGTGAAGATGGTGGTGTAGAAATGCATGCATGCTGGGTATTAACATATGCTACTTCTGCCCTCACCTCTCAGGGTTTAATCCTGTGCGTTCATGTTCTAGCACCTTCTTTCACATACCAATCCAGAAGCTGTTTGCTAGATTAGAGTTAAAAATCTTAGCACCTCTGTCTTCTGCCAAAGGCAGGTAGAAGCAGCAGTATTGGTTACTGCATTTCACTCTTAGTCTTTCCAAGGACTTGGTTAGTTTATAGACTCTGGTAGAAAGAGGGCACGAGCTGAGTGGCAGACAGGCACCCCCTTGAAGAAGGGGTAAAGTCTCCCCATCCCTGCCACACTTTTTCACTGTAACATTTTCTGAGACTGAAAAACATACCAGAACAGCGCACAGCAGGGCCAGCCAGCCGAGCCGCGCTAGCCCTTGGTGTTCAGTGGCCGAACTCGGGCTGTGGCTCGGGCCCCACCAGTTAGGGCTCCCCAGGTGCTCCTCCAAGCCCGTGCTCTCCCCGGTCCTGCCCCACCCCCTCTCCTCCACATGGCTGGCCCGGGCACGGTCGGTGCTCCTTGCGGAGTAGGCCGATGGGGGTGGCCCTCCCCTCCGGGGACAGAGGACTCGCTACTGAGGTTCTTTTGTAGTTGAATGTCTTTTGGGTTTGCTGGTGGTCTGCCGGGAGCGGGCTTCTGGGGCCTTGTCTAACATCATCGCTGCCGTCGGGCACAGGTGTGCATGCCTTTCCTCTTGGCTCTCCTCCTCAGTCCTTCATCCTCACTCAGTGTCCTCGCCACCTCCGCAGGCATGTCCTGTGTCTCAGTTCGCTAGGGCCGCCATAACCAAGGACCACAGTTGGGGGCGCTTACACAGCGGAAATGTATGGGCTCACAGTTGTGAGCAGAGAAGCCTTGAGATCAAGGTGTTGCCTGGGTTGGTTCCTTCTGAGGGCTGTGTGGGAAGAGTCTATTCTAGGCTTCTCTCCCTGTGTCTTCATGTTGTTTTCCTTTCATGTGTGTGTCTGTGTCCAAATTTCCCCTTTTTATAAAAGGATACCAGTTGTAGTGGATTAGGGCCCACTCTGATGATCTCACTGTAACCTGATTACCCGTGTAAAGACCTGTCTCCAAATACAGTCACACTGTGTGGTACTGCGGGTTAGCACTTCGACACACGAGTTTTGGGTGGACAGTTAACCCATAAGAGCCCCCAAGCCCCACTAACCATGGAGAAGACCCAACAGTTCATTTTACTTTGCAGCTGCCTGGCACTTGAACTTTGGAGGGCCCATGACTTCATTAACCTCCCCTCCCTGATGGAAGACTCACCCACTGTGGACTCAGGCCCAGGACCTGTCTGGCCGCGCAGACTGCGGCCCCTCTCCCGCTTCTCCTCTCCTGACGCGCTCCTTTTCCAACAGTACAGATCCAGCTGCTCATCATTTGCCTCTCCTTCCCTCCTTCCTACTGCTTTCCAGCCCACGAAACTTCACCTACAAAAGCTCTTTCTTCCTCTGGAGCCTCTGAGTCTGCTCTGCCATCCTCAGAGGCCCCTCAGGACTGTTTTCCAGAACTCCACGATCAGGGTCTGCCCAGCCCAGTACTTGTCTTTCTCTGGGAGCAGGCACTAGCCCCAGGCTTTGTGTTCCCCTCTCTTCCTCTGGTCTGAGGGACTCCATACCCCCACGGGTGGCCTGTCAAACCCCCCGACTCTGGCAGTGCTTTCCCTGCCTCGGCTTCTCACCATGTCAACAGGCAGTGCTCTGAGAACCTTCTTTAGGAAACCTTCCCCAATCTGAAACTTCCTCCATTTACTGTCATGAGGCCCTGCCTGCTGTCCTTGTGCACCAGGCCAGTTTCTCACCTGGTGGAAGGGGCCATTAGCTGCTTCCTAGGTTATGCCCGCACCGAGCAGCCGGGCTGCTGAGCACCTCGCCACTGGCACAAGCGCATCGATGTGGCGGGGGGGGGGGGGGGCCTCACTGCTGAGGTGGCCAGAGCACATTTCTGACCACCAGATGGATTCTGGCTTTAGTGCTAACTTTTAAGAGTTGTAAAATGTTTTCTTTATTGACGAACATCTGAGGCGGGAGAGATGTAGTCTCCGTTCTTTTCTCCATGAAAACAGTATACATGTAGTCAATTAGTAGTAGGAGCCATCAGTAGCTAGTTTCAAATGTCCTGCCGATGAGCATTCATCCATCCCGTTAGCGCTGTGGCTTCTGTACAGAGTGCCATGGGGTCAGCTGACAATTACCCGTGGCCTCCAGAGAGCCCCTTCACAAGCATGGCCGCCAGATCCTTTCCCCTTCCCTCTTCCGAGGGCCCCATCCTCCTGTGACTCATCATTCGCTAGTCACGCGGCTGAAGTTGTTCGTACGGCAGTCCGCTGGGCCCGGGGCTGGCCGCCCGACGGCTCCAGCTCTCTCCGCCCCCACTGCCCCCTCATCGAAGCTCCGGGTTACAGTCATCAGGCTGTGGTGACAACTTCTTTCTCTCGCAGACTTTGTGCTCTGCAAGGGTAGGCCCCTGGCATAACGGCTTGTTCTGTTACATGGAATCAATCATCCCCCAACTGAGAGCCACATGTGAGAGGGAACCGTGGGCCCAGAAACCTCAGTGAGCCGGGGGTCGCCAGCCCCGTCAGCAGTGCCTGCGGTGGCTCACGGCCGAGGAAGTGTTGAGTGCAGGCCAGACTGCCCTTTGACGGGGGCCGCCTTCCAGGACGACACCCCTTCTTTCCAGGCCCTGGCGTCCCTCTGACTCAGGAACGCAGGTCAGCGGCTGCTTCCCGCGGCCCCCGCCCAGCTGCCGCGCCCCTGCTCTGCTGCTCCCTGCTCTGCTCGGGCACTGCGCTTCCTTCGTCCCTGGGCCACTCCGGTCCGTGTGTCGGAGCCCCAGGAAGACGGGCTCCGGGGTAGAGTGTAGGAAAGTCACTTCGTTTAAATCACCAAGTTAGCGAACAGGATCCTGGGTGGCACAGAGGACAGCTGGTGGGTGGGATTTCTGGCACGGGAGCAGGGAAGCCCGCGCGGGCACTGCTGCCGGACCGAGGGCGTCCCCTGGGCCCGAGCTCCCTGTGCTCACGGACGGTGGCCCTCCGAAAGCCCGCCAGCCTGTCCGCCCTGCTGCGATTTCGGGGACGGGAGCGGCCACCTCGCGGTGGGCCATGGCAGACAGCCGGCCGCCTTCTCTCCGCCTGGCCTGCACTCTCGGAAGGGAAGGGTGCCCGCGGGTCGGGGTCCCACCCCCCTCCCCGGACGGAGAGGCGCCCTGCCTCTGGGGGGGGCGAGGTCGCGAGCCTCATGGAGACCTTGTGGGAGCAGGAGAGCTGGGAGGCTGGCATGGTTTGGAGCCGCCTAGGTGCCGGCCCCGGGGCCCGTGGGGGAGCAAGCTGGGCCTTGGGGGCACTGGAGGCCAGAAAGGTGGGTTTGCAGGGCCAGCTCCATCCTGCAGCGCGAGCCGCGCAGGACTAGGGGGAGGGAGGGCCGTGGCGAAGGGTCAGCCACAAGGCCGGTGTTGCTGTGACGGGATGGCGAGGGGAGGCAGGTGACTAGCCTACTTGTCTGAGGAGGAGGGGGCTAGATCGGCTGCCTGGGGAGCGGCTCCCTGGGCGTCCATCAAAGGATGGCTGGGCGGGAGGAGGGCCGAGCAGCATTCGTGTTTCCTTTGGGGTCCTTCTGCCTTGTGGCGGACACAGGGCCCGCTGGGTGAGGCCCCTAGCTAGCCAGGGGCATTCCCTCGAACAAGCAGGCCTTGGATTTATTGTAAGTGACCTATGAGGAAAGGCTGCACGGGGCTGTCAGATGATCATCGCAGGCCCTGGGCACTCCCCAACCGGGGCTGCCCCTGTCCGAGACCGCGCGCCTGGGCCCTTCTAACGGGAGCTTGACTGCAGAAGGTTCTCTTGTCTAATTCACTTGGAGTCAAATGATCCTGCAAATAGGAAAATAATACCAATAGGCCCCAAGACTGAGAGGGGAGCTACTGCTTACCTCATGGTGGCCTCTGGGATCAGCAGCAAATAAGGTAACTTCCCCTTGTTTTGGGGCATCGTTGGCATCAGACTCACATTGTTGTCCCTGGCTTCCTGCGGCCTGCTGAAGTCAGGAGTGCGTTCTCTGCTGGTTACTTTGCTGGGTTACGTCACTCCCTCCTTCCTGTCGGTGTGTCTCATCTGTCTGTCTCCTGCCCTCCCTCTTCCCTCTGGTAGGGCTGACCGCCACTGGCAGCCCTGACGGAGGAGCTCAGTTTGCAGGGAGGAAGCGAAGGGCTGGCGGGAAAGTGCTGCCGGCAGAAGGGACAGCACATGCATGGCATCTGTCAAAACCCAGAAGATTCTGAAATGCAGGGGGGGGAGTAGAGGCAGGACCCGGAGAGATGGGAGGAGAGGCCGGCTGGGGTCAGACCACCTGGTTTCGAGGCCAAGGTCAGGGCGGCAGAAAGTAGTCACTGGAGGCTGTTAGGTGGGCATCACATAGCCTGGCCGAGGCTCAGGAGCCAGGCCTGGAGCTGCTCTGTGAGACCGGACTGGGGACGAGGGGAGGCAAGGGGGCAGAGGCAAGGAGAGCCCCCCCCCCCAGACCCCGCCCCCGACGGTGAGCGTCCTCCCTGCTGTGCCTCCCCCGAGCCCAGGAGCCCCATGAGGGAAAAGCCGGGTCTTGGATCTCTGGGCTTGCTGAGGAAGGGAGTGGGTGCTGGGTGACCCTAGTCGTCAGACCGGGTGACCCCTATGTCCCAGGAAAACCCTTCTCGGTGCTTTCTGGCCCAGCCCCCATGGAAGGGCCTAAAAGAGAAAAGCTAATCAGGGGAGGCCTTGCTGTGGGGGGCTGGAGGTGCTGAGTGGAGGCTCAGTGAACACAGCCCCTCTTCCCTGTGCAGGGAGTGAGCTGAGCCCCCGGGGGCTCCCCCTCCTCTCCCGGGGTGGCTGCCGCCGCCTCCTGTGACTGATGAAAACAAATACAACTTCAAGTTGTCAAGGTGCTGATTTAACAGTCAGCAGAGCAATTTATAAAAATGCAAAACCGCAGAGGTCGGGGCCCCGGGGGGGGGGGGGGCATGGAGTACATTTCCGCAGTGTCCTGCGGAGATGCCCCCCTGCCCTGACCTGGCCAAGCAGGGCGGCAGCTGCAGCCCTGGCTCGGGAGGGAGGCCCGGCACGCTCGGCAGAGCTGGGTCGATGACCAGGCAGGCCGGTCTGGAATGGCATCCCGGCGCCCCGAGCAGGGCCCGCTGACCACAGCCGCCTCTGCTCTCCCCAGACGCCCATTCACCAGAATCTCAAGGAGCTGCTGGCCATCAAGGCGGAGTTGCAGAAGCGGGTGGAGGACCTGCAGCGGGAGGTGGCCACACGCGCCTCGTCATCATCCGAGCGGGGCTCCTCGCCGTCCCACTCGGCCACCCCCGTCCACACCTCCGTCTGAGGGGCTCCAGAGGACAGCACTCGCGGTGACCCCGGCCAGCCAGGACCTCCTGCTCGGCGGCTCGGGCAAGAGACGGTAGCTTGTGATCTTGTCTTTTAGGATTAGGCCCAACGTCCTCCAAGCCTGGATGGCACTTCCCACCAGTGACCATTTGTGTGGCTAGGTGACCACGCCCACTGTCCTCAAGTGCTTTTTGTTTCGTGAGCCCGTTCCCTCCTGCCCACGCCATCCTGTGGCGGCCGCCTGCCGCATCGAGCCCGCGGACCGCCTGGCTCTGGGGCCCGGGAGAGGCGCGGGAGCATGGAGCGCGGGGCTTCGGGTCAAGGGGGCCCCACTCCCTTTCTTTCCGAGGTAAGCCCTTCATTTTCAGATACACCCCCTTCACTTACAGACCGCGTGCCAGCCACGTGGCTGCTTGAGCCCTTCGCTACAACGCGAAGACCGTTTGGAACTTAAAACTCTGGCGTCGGGGCAGCCGCGCCGTTGCCAAGCCTCCAGTCCTCTTCATGCCTGGGGCCCTCCCGCACCAGTTACTGTTGTGTACATAGAAGGTATTTTTAAAAAAAGAGAAACATGCCTTTATTTTCCTATGTCCTTTTTTATGTTTGGACTAGTCACTCGAGGAGGTTTCTGCTTAACTGGACTGGGTGAGAAATTCTTTTCCAACAAAGCTCATGCCAACTTCATGTGGTACATCTGCAACGTGGTTTGAATGGGGCCGCTGAGATGGCACGGTGTCCCGCCCTCCCCCGACACCGGTGCTCGCCTCCCGAGGTGGCCCGGGGACAGTGTGACCCTGCGCCGGCCTCCCCGGCTGCTCCCCGGCCGCCCCCTCCCTGCTGCAGGCTGTTCACACCGAGCAAGACCGCCCGCCCGCCCTGCCCTGCTAGCTGCGCGGCGGCAAGGTTTCTCCCGGCCCGGAGACCCCTCGAGCTCGAGCTCCGTTCCCCGGCTGCGTGGCGGCAGACCACCGCGCTCCCTGGCTTTCTCCTCCCGGGGCCACGGCGGGCTGTGCCACCCTCCCCTGCCCACGGCACCGCCCTCCCTCCCCCTGCCCGATCCACAAGCAGCACAACAGCCCCTTTTCCTCTGTGTGTACCTAGCACACAGCCGTTTCTAACACAACTTGAAGTATACTGTTGTTACCTAAGCAATTCTTTGTTTTATTTAAGTGTACTAGAATGTAAAACATTCATGGTTCAGATTTTTAAAGACTGTATCGTATTTGCCTCATCTGATACACTGTATTTCAGTCTGTAATTAAAATAATATGTTTGCTCCGTGGTCTTGTTTTTTTTAAGTTTTTCCAATTTTTCCCTTGGGGAAAATGACTAAACCTTCCATACCTGTTATTTTATGTGCCAGGCGCAGTTAATACCCGTAAAGTGCCTTTACAAGATTTTACTCATTCACTAAATCCTAAATGCCAGAAATCAGGTCTTGAGTGTCTTGGCCAAAATGGTGGGTAAGTAAGTACTCTGACTTTAAAATCTGAAATGCCCCTCAACCTTAAGCTGAGAAAATACTGATGGGGGAAAGGCTGGGGCTACCGGAGGCAGCTACGGCTCCAAGGAGGCACGATGCTCCGCCCAGGCCTTGAGTCCTAGAGCCGAAAAGGGGACAGACTTCGGAGAAGCCCCGGGGTCCCCACCCCAAGTCTATGGGAGGAATGCTGGCCTCTGGGGGAGCTGTAAAGGCCTGGATGAGGCCACACTGACCCCTGTGGGTCACCCTTCTCATAAGAGCCTGGGGGTCCCTGTCCTCCATGCAGCGGTCAGTGCTGCTGGGGGCCCTAGCAGCAATACCTGAGCGACAAGCCCCCGGGGGGGGGGGGGGGGCTGGTGGCGGGGGCACCGCGCTAGGCCCTGGCCGGCCACGCAGAACTTCTTTACTGAAGACTCATGTGGTGGGTCTGGGTCTGAGGACTTGGTGCTGTTTTATGACATGGCTGGCGTGGCACCAAGAGGCCACCCGCCTCAATGTGAAAACCCCACGTCCACTGCATCCCGCTCACCCTCAAGAGGTCTGGCTGTGTTCTCGGTTTGCAAGCCAAGCTTCGAGGTGACGACACGGCTCACTCGTTCCCAGACGGGCCACTCTGGAACATGGCTGCATGAATGATGGCGTGCAGGGACCCCCGGCCCTGCTCAGCCAAACGACTGCACCAACGCGAATCCACCCTGGATACTGGATTTCTCTGATGATGGTGAGCACTGGGCTGGGGAGTCAGGAGTGTGAAGCCTGCCTCTGCCCCTCTCGAGCTCGTCCCTCTGCAGCTCCAGGCCCTGGCTCTGTGTACCGGAGGGGCCCTGACACCGAGTCATTCATCAACAGAAGGAACTGGAGAATTCCAACCTTCTGGAGAAACACCTCGGGCTGGGGAGGAGGGGAGGAAGGTCGACCATGAACTACCTTAAGGAAAAAAACCAGCATCACTTGACAAAGGAAGGCCCTCCACACCATCAGAATACAGTGATCTGTTAGGTTCCATTTCGTTTAATGCAAACACAAGACCATTTACAATTCCTATTTAAACACAAGCACATAAAAAGTACAGGGGTTTCTGAGATCAGTTTCCACTTCTTCCTCAGACAAGGGGTATGAGCACTCCTGAGTCAGGTGCCCGAGGCAGCGGGCCTGGCACTGTTCTCTGGGTCCCACGCCAGGAGGGTGCCCCTCCCCGCCAAGCTGCCACGCTTCCTTCCTCCTGTGTTCAGAGTTACCAACACTGAGCCTCCACCCCCCAGGTGAGCAGATATAGATCGGATATTCTCAACTGGCCCTTCTGGTTCACTCCATCTTCCCTATCATCTGGGACAGGCCCAGGGTGGTCAAGGCTACTTCCAGACAGACACAGTTACAAGAGCCTGGGCTTCTGCAGGCGTCCCTGCCCGCTGCCCCGCCCCCCCCGGGGACAAGAGCTCTGCCAACAGGTGGCGGAGTGACCTTCCCGGCCTGTCCAGTCACTAGGCAGCCCGGGTGCTGGGTTGTGGGCTTCTGAGGGAGAGCCAAAGGGGTCTCTTCAATCACGGCCACTGATTGTACATCAGAGCCGGAGGAGCTCAGGGTCTCCACCACCACGGAAGCCTCCCTGTCAAGCTCAGGTGGACAACTGGGGGTCGGGGGCCGCGGGCCGGCACACCCCACCTCAGGGCTCCTAGTCGGCAAGCTCCATAGCTCTAGCTAGTGCCGTGCCGTGTCTGGCCATGCCAAGTGACACGCGGGCCACATGACTCCTCATCCTAGTTGCCACGGTGACTAGGACTCCTCTAACGTGCCCGTGGCAGGGAGAGAAGTCAGTTACCACGCCCAAGTGCCACCTCTTTTTTCCTCCTTTGAGATGCCCCGGGGACCTCAGTGGGCAGCCATCCTCACCCCGTGAGCTGCCGGGCGCCGCCCCGACCCTTCCCCAGCTCCCGTTACCTAGGAAGAATCCTCCAGAGCTGCCCGGCGCCAACCAGGGGTGGGGCCATCAGCCCTTGCCCTCCTCGGCGGCAGGGACGAGGCGGGCCGAGCTGACAGCCGCCGGGCTCTTAAGCAGAGGGGGTCTCGTCAGCGCCCCACACCCGCCTCGCGGACACACAGCCCCGCCCCGCTGCGGAAGGGGCCGGCCAGGGCGGAGGCGGCGCGGGCCCGGCTCTCAAGGGCCGCTGGAGACGCGCACCCCAACTGACGCCTCGGGCGCACGAGCAGGTTTCTCAGAGAGCCGCGAACACCGGCACACGAGGCATACAACGTCTACAACGGCGGGGTCCGCTCCGATTCCCACGGTTTCCTGAGGAAGCCAGACTTGCCTCGTCCCAGCTCAGCGGACGCCCGGCCCGAACAACGCGTGGGGCCGCCTGCCGTGCAGGGAGGCACGTGGGGTCGTGTCCGTAGGACCCCACCTTCCCGCTGACTTCTGCTTCTGGAAGTGCTTTTGGGCACCGCAAACTGATTATCAGAAGACGGTGGCTCTAGACTTTGGCTCAGCCTCAGACAGCGGAGCTCCCAGGGACAGGACCACACGTGGGCCAAACGGAACATTCCAGGAGGCTAGCCCAAGCCAGACAGCTCCGGGCCAGGGGAGGGGCCAGTCCCTGGGTTCTGGTGTTTACCGCAGTGACCGCGGCACCCCAAGGGCTTTTCATCAGGACAGGACAGGCAGAATCATCCTTCCAGACCCACGCAGTCAAGCATGTTTCACCAAACCCGGCAACCGTTCCTTCCCCCGTCCCCCTCCCACCTCCGATACAATTTTAAGCAAAAAAAAAAAAAAAAAAAAAATGCATGCTTCCGGCTCCGCCGCTTGTTCTCGATGTCTGTAGTTTTTGCTACCAAAATAAGAACACGTACAGGGCAGAAGGGGAACACTCACTTCAATGCATAAATGATTCCTAAAAGCTAAGCATGTCAGCCAGGAGACCGCACCCAGTCCCCTGTGGAATCAGAGGGGAATCGGGCCCCCGAGTCACAGCTTCCTACTTGTCCAGAAGGTTCCTAAATTCTCAGGGCAGGGCTATCAAGGCATGCATGTTTGCACTTAAATAAATGAAAAGCCACCACTCGGACCGGCTCTCCGGAAGCCCAGCAGTGTCAAGGCTGGGTGGTGTGTGCGCGTGGGAGAGAGGGAGTGTGAGCGTGTGGTTACCTGATGCTCGCTCCTCGCACTACCCTGGGCTCAAACTCTTGGCCCCGGAGCATCAAAGTCCTCGCGCACCCCCCCCCCGCCCCCCGTCGTCTCGGGCTCCCCGCTCCCAGGGCTGGCTTTCTGCCAGAGCTGGGCCTCGGATTCGACACCAAGTCTCTTCAGAGCCTCCGGTAGGGCAGGCACAGAAACCAAACTCACACACACCCCGAGCTCATCCGGAAGTTAGAGAAGCCGATGACGTCAGAGAAGCGGGTCCAAACGGAACGAGGCGCCGGTCACGAGCAGCAGCCCTCAGATCCGGGGCGCTTCGGGGGGCGGCGGCTCCGCGGCCTGCGTCTGTAGCGTCAGGTATTTCACTAGCGGGCGAGAGGCCTCGGTTAGCGGGCGAGAGGCCTCGGTTAGCGGGCGAGAGGCCTCGGTTAGCGGGCGAGAGGCCTCGGTTAGCGGGCGAGAGGCCTCGGTTAGCGGGCACGCCCGCCCCGCCCGCCCCGCCGCCCACGCGGCAGACCCGCGCTCGAGGCCCCGCGCGCGCCCCCCAGCCCGTGTGCCCTGTCTGTCCTGTCCAGGGCCTGGGGACGGCTCGACCCCTCCTGGCCAACCTCCCCTCTGGCGCGCATCTGTCCCCGCTCGGGGCGACCCTGCGCCCCGGGAGAGCAGGAGGAAGGCAGGCCACCCCTGTCCTCGTCGGTAAAATGGGCACGCTCCCGGCGGGGCGGGCTGGCCACCGTGGCCGGCTTCCCTCTGCTCTCCTCGGGCCCCGCCCCCGCGACACAGCGACGGGCCTGTCCCCGCTGCTTTCGGCTCCAGGGACAACAGCCCGGCTCCCCGGCCTCCCTGCGTCCTCCTGCCTGCCCTCACACGGCCTCCAATCGCCCTCAGAAAGTGCTCGACTGCAGAAGGGAGAGGCACGGGGGTAGGGGGTGGGGGGCGGAGGGGCAAGGGCCCCGAGAAGAGGCTCTGTTTTAGCCGAGTCCCTCCTGCCTTTGGGCAGTCTTCAAAACGCAGTCACGGGCCTCATTTCAAAGCTTCCCCACAGCTGGGTGGGCGTCTGTCTGGG